TTTTATGCATTTTTAGGGTTTTTTCTGTAACGCCCCGACTCTCAGGTGGTAATTTTATGGCTTTGATGTTCATAAGTTGCAAGGTCTACTCGACGAGTTGGATGCCCTGACTCGTCGAGTAGGAGCGGTTTGGGCCACGTGTTTAAGTGACCTACTCGCCGAGTCCAAGATAGGACTCGACGAGTAGGAGCTGAAGGATGAAACCCTAATTCTCAGGGTTTTGCACCATATTTAAAGGATCATAAGCCTCCTTCAGCCCCCTTGCAGCCTCTTGAGAGTCCAGCAAACCCTAATCTGTGTGTGTGCTTCATTCTTGGGTGTTTTAAGCTTTGGAAGGTGGATCTTTGTAAGAAGAACTTGGAGAGCAAGTGGCTAAAAGCAAGGAACGTGTGGGGATCTGATATCTACCTCAGTTAGCATCTTTTGGAAGGTATCAAGTCATTACCTTGGCCTCATTTCATTCTAGATATAATTTGGTTAAAGATTAGGGATTTTCTAGCATAATAAGAAGCTATTCTTGGGTATGAGCTCAAATCTGAAGTTTTAACTTCAGATCTGAACTCTCTTTGGTCTCCAAGTCCATAAAGCTCTCAGCTTTAGCAAGTATGAACCTCTCCTTAAGTGTGAAACTCCATTTCAAGCGTGGTTTTGATATTATAAGACTTTAGAGCCCTGCATGCACGTAAAGTTTGCAACTTTACGTGATAAACATGCATTGGGAAGTTGGATCTGCATTTTGGAACCTTAAAGTGGCTTAAAAAGCATTTGAATGGATAGTGGACTGAAGGGACTCGGTGAGTTGCATGGTCAGCTCGGCGAGTCCAATGAAGATTGTCATGCAAGGACTTCTGCATGGACTCGGCGAGTCAGTGGGGTGACTCGGCAAGTCAACTTGGGTTTTCCCGAAGTTTGGACACGCTTGAACTTGGCGAGTTGCAGGAAACTTGATGAGTCAGTGGGGGGTTTTTCACGACTACTCGAGTTCTGGAAGGACTCGACGAGTCTGTGTTTGCACTCGACGAGTTGGGTCAACATGGATTGTTGACCTTGATCGTTGACCTTGACTTTGGCTAAGGGTTGTCTATTTGACTTTTGGGGCATTTTAGGAAGTTGGAAATTTATGAGTATGGATCATTGGTAGTTATAGGTGTTGGAGTTGGGGCAGCGTTTCGGGAGCGCAATTTTGTGGTTCAGTTCGACATTGCAAGGTGAGTTATCCTCACTATTTCAACAGGGTCTAAGGCACCAAGGCCGAACCTTTATCTAATTTGTATCCGGGTATTTGCTCGATATGTTTATTGATCTGCTAGATCTGCATCCTGGTAGTTAGAATGGTATTATGTTCAGTGACCTGGTCTAGGTCGGTATCCTGGTATATAAGATGATGTTATGTTAGTGACTGGTTAGGTTGGTATCCTGGTTATAGTATGTGGCTATGCTATATGACCTGTTAGATCAGTTTGTTGTCTATAGACTATTATATGATTATCTGTTATATGTGTACATGGTTGTTTGATTGGGGGTTGGGTTGAGGCGGTCCTGCTTTGTGCTGAAGGCCAACATACCCAATGAGCGGTCCGGATAGGCTACAAGCCTTGCGAGGCGGTCTAGACGTGCCGAAGGCTCGGAGAACGGTCCAGATAGACTGAAGGCCTGCGAGGCGGTCCGGTCAGGATGAAGGCTCATTATACATACTGTAGACTCAGAGAGTGGACCAGGTGGACTGAAGGCTCGGTGCGGGCAGACCAGTCACACTGTAGACTCGAGATGCATGGCTGTTCTGTTTACTTATGTTATATGTTATGGTTATATCGGTATGGCGTTGGTATTTTGGGGGTAACTCACTAAGCCTTCGAGCTTACAGTTTCATTTTATTGTTACAGGTTCAGCGGATGACCACAGGAAGGCGAAGGCGTGACCGTACACTCCCTCGATTGATGATTTTGATTTCTGGGAACTCTAATGTTTAAACTATTTTGAAAACAAATTGTAATAACTGAATGGTTTTAAATGATTTAAAAAGTTTTAAACTGGCTTGAATTTTATGGATGTTATAAGTTGGTATCAGAGCATTGGTTTGAGTGAATTGGAGGAACACTCGTGTGAATCCAGTCTCAAATCAAGGAAGAATTTTCAAAATGATTTTTAAATGGTTTTCAAAATAAGTAAAAGGAGGATACAAGTGTACGATCAGCCGGAGCCAGTAAGTAGACCCCAAAATACCATACGGTTATTTGATTAGGTGATATGATAGAACAACATGTTAGTACTAGGCTAGGGATCTTCGGGAATTGCATGATAGAATTGCCTGATTACATGATGCCTGCTAGCCTAGGGTTTTCTTTATATGAGATTGACATCATTACTGTAGTTACTTGTGTATGTATCGCGGCTGTACATAATTAAGATCTTATAGCCCGAGAATGTTTGATTTGGCCTTATGTTCTGTTCATATTGATTAGGGCTTAGGGTAGGATCAGATATTCGAAAGTCTATAGGATCCAACGTTATGTATTGTTAGCATACACTAGTGCTGCAGGGTTGGTGGAAGTTTCATGGATGGGTGAGTAGAGAGAGGCCGGGAGGCCAGTTACGAGATATTTAGCATTCCTCTAGGAGTGAGGAATGAGCGCTCGCTACGATTATGTATATTGTTAGGGCGTTGTGATGATACTTGAGACAAATATGGGTAGGTTTGGAAGGCAATGGCGGTTATGGTGGCAGAAGAAAAAGGAACGGGTGACATTGTATAATCATTTATGATTATACCAAACCTGCCGTGCCGGTACGTCGGAGGGTTAGAGCGGCAAATGTGAAATACGTGGCTGAGGTTGAATCTCAAGATATCTATTTTATTTTTAATCTCAACGGAACATACCTCTCTCTCTCTCTCTCTCTCTCTCTCTCTCTCTCTCTCTCTCTCTCTCTCTCTCTCTCTCTCTCTCTCTCTATATATATATATATATATATATATATATATATATATATATATATATATATATATATATATATATATATATATATATATATGGAATTAGGTTAATGTATAAACTTTAGTTATTGTATGATTGTATAACCAATTTTGGACCAATCATCGTCTAGAGGCAAATTAACAACATTGAATAATATTAATTTAATAACCTAACATTACATTTCTATATTTATAGCAATTCCCCATATGTTTAATCGTTCTCCTTTTATTGCCTTCTACCTTTGTTTTTTAGATTTTTTTTAGAAGCAGCCATATTATCTCATATTTTACACGAATTTAAATGCACCCTATAATGACTAATGATCTAAAGGGTTATAATGAATTTTTATTCATTTGTTTATTATTTTGCATCTTACTTTTATTCTTAATTACCTTGAACATTTTTTTTTTGTTGATTTTTCAAAATAAAGATAAAAATACCATATGCTATAATGGATAGATTTTTAAAAATAAAGATAAAAATTAAAAAATACCATATGCTATAATGTATAGATTTATAAGGTAGCATTTATTTAAAAAAAAAAATACAATCCTGCAATAGAAATGCAATGTCTTAATAAACAAATAAATGTACATGCATTGCTATTTCTAACACAAGAAGCATAAAAATTACACAGCTGCTTATTTTCTTGTTATCCTCTTCCAAAACATAAAAAGTTATAAACTTTTATTCCCTTTGTTTACAAGTGCATAGTCTAATAAAATAATAATGATTTTCCATTCTCTTTTCCTTTCCCTCCCTATGATAAAGATTTGATAACCAAATGTCAAAGTAGATGTTAATATACGGATATGAAGGATCATATATTTCCAATATCCACTTCCAGGGTCCATTTAAATTTAAAATTGGTCTAGTGACATATAATTGACGAATATTGTTAGTGGAAATATAGCGAAAATGAGTCTATAACATGGGAAAATCAAAGGTATGTCAAGCGTCCAAAGTAGTTAGACGTGACAATGGAACGAGTTTTGACCTTGATCCACTTCAAACTCGCGCAAAATTAATGGGTTTGGATCATATTTTATGATTCGTTTACCCATTAACGACCCATATCCATTAACCTTTTTATTAAAAGGGTCAGGTATGGATCATTATCGATCTGATCCGTTTATGACCCGTCCCGTCTAAAATTTTGAAATATAAATTAATTATTTATGAGTAATAATACATTTATCAATCTTCAAATAAAGGAGTCGAGGAGTTAGACTGTTAGATGTTCTACTTCAACTTCTTAGTTCAGTTACTAAGCCAAATGACCGATTGCAGTCGACTCCTAATATAACCGACTCTATAATCTTTTGAAATCGATATTCCACAATCAAGACGCAAGAGTAAGAAGAAAAGGTCTTCGGAAGAAAAGGCTGCAATCGAGTTATCGACATTCCACAATCATAATACATTGGAAAAGTTATAATGTTGTTTGGTTTTAGTGATCATGTTATATGTGTTTTAATGAATAATTATAGCCTAAACTTAATATTGTAAATAAGTCGGGTAAAAGGGTTGAAATCCGGTGGATAAAGGTATGGGTTTAATCATTCAAAACTCTGCGGGTTACGGGTCAGGTTTGGATTATCATTTGAAAATTGCTTAATGGGTTTGGATCCGCTCCATTGTCAGGCCTAAAAGTAGTTGAAAGTTGAAACAACAAAGGGTCTGATGTCTCAACAACATTTAACCAAATAAGAGCTCCTCACAATGAAAACATCTAATCCATGGATTCATACAAGAAAATTTTCAAAGTATTTAAGAGTTTGATGAGAAAGATTTCATCATCAAGCATCAAAGGGTGATGAAGGCCCGGGCATAGAGATGTGGTTGGAGGCGTTGCAAAAATCATCAGGAAAAAGTGCACCATTGGCATCCCACAATGATCTTTGTTTGAAGTGGAAGTGGAAGTGGAACCACCGAACCAGGGGGAGTCGAGAAGCAAATCTGGCGTGCAATATGATAAGAATGGAGAAAAGAAAACAGATAAATGAGAGAGAGAACAGAGATCTTATTCCAAAATCAAATCAGAGAAGCTCAGATGAGTGAGTCTTCCTGCCCAAGCTTCATACAGCCGAGTACATTCTTAGAAAACAAAAAGATGATCTCCCTCATTCATCAACATGACCTATATAATAAATCTATTCTCTCTAACAGAATCACCAACAGCCCCAATCATTCCCCTCCACTCCACGTGGCTTTGTGTAAACTTTCCATGTGCCAAATTTGTTAAATTGTTCCAGACTAGTGGGTCCCAGTAGCAACTTCCCTATCACAATACTTCATCATCATGTCATTGTCTTCTCTTTCCGATTGCTTACCACCAGTTTCATCTGCTGCTGCTCCTGCTTCCGCTTCCTGCTTCACTTCACACCACACAAAACAAATTTCATCAAAACAACTCAACCAATCATATTTATTATGACTAACTCACATCTTATTGCACGGCATAAATCGGCTAAATTCTAGAAATAGCAACCTACTTTCCATTTATTTGTGTATTATAGTGTCCTACTTTCATTTCTTTCACACCACAGAAGAAAAATAAATAAAAGGGAATTTCATCAAAAAGAATAAGGATATTCATATCATATTGATTGTTGTTCTAAATGATAGAGTTACTGGCACTGCACAAAAAATGAACAGAAAAAGGGCTAAATGCAAGATACAACAACCTACTTTCCCTCATTTGTATATAACAGCGTCCTACTATAAATCTGTGTTCATTGTACATTGAAATCTATCCAGTTATATAGTATTGTGCTCTTGTTAAGATATTCTACTTTGAAAAATCTACCTATTTATAGCAGTAAGAGTTGCTTCCTATTTGGATGAGTGGCTAGATCTGTCAATGTATAATGATGTAATAGAAAGAAATAAAAGTATGTTGCTATTTTCTTGCATTTAGACCTAAAGAATTGAAAGGTTCCAGTAGTGATGAATGATGATAAGCCTTTCAAGTTTCAACTTCCACCAACAGAATAACTATAAACTGATTTAAGCAAAACTCGATAACTGATCAGAACATGAAAATTTTGAAGTTGAAAGTGATACAGGGCTCAACACATATGAATTAACAAGAAAGAAACAGCAACATGCTTTCATTGATTTGTTTATTATAGCATATTCTACTTTCATCCCCTCCTATTCCTATAACAATTCTAACTGCTATAGTTGAGTAGATTTTTCAAATTATAATGTGTTTCTTGATAAGGAAGAAAAGAAAACTGAAAGTAGAATGCTAAAATTAGGTGATTTTTTTCTTAATAAGACAAAAACTGCAATAGAAAGAAATGAAAGAATTATGTATCACCTGAAATTGCCTCGAGGGATTGATCATGATGTTCATCGAGTGAGTATATTCAGTGAAGACAGATACAGCAGAATGACCCAATGGTGACATGGGGTCCCCATAAGCCTCCCAATCCCAGTCATCATCAGATGAACAAGCAGCATCATTCGAATTGGAATTGGAATTCTTTGAATTTGAGGTTTTCAATGTCTGTGACTCGTAGAGCACCGCTTCCAACAAACCGATGTTTTCCTATTATGCGAGGGCAAATCCGACTTTTCATGACCAATCAGAGCGAATCTTCATATAGAAAAATATCACTCAAAACCACCACCACCATCATAGATGGGACATGATGGATTGGATCTTCTGATTCTTTTGGGAGGATGTGAAATCGGGAATAGGAGGGGAATATCGAGAAAATTGGCTCCGGGGATATCCAGGAGGCTTGGGGCAAATATCCTAAATTCTTGAACTCCAATGCTGGGATTTGGAAGTTGTTATTTGGCATGTGATGATGATGTATCTCCGTTTGGGAATGTGCCCAAGTGTTGTCGTTTAGTGTTTGGAGGGTAAATTGGTAAACCTGCACACTGTCGTCACTTTGGTTCTTGTGTTCCAGAAATTCTTGATTTCGTTATCTGTACGCCCGGGTAACTGATAACAAAAAGTAATCACATCAATCACCATTTTAGTAAACAACGGAACATAACCGGTTATTCTGCATTTGGTATGCATTGGACTTGGACTAATGTCAATGGGAGAAACAAAAAAGTTGCAAATTTTTGTTCGCCTAATGCAATGCAAGAAATAGCATCGTACTTCCATTTATTTGTACACTATAGCATCTTAATTCCACTTATTTCCATCACAATATTCTACTTTCAAACTTTTTTCTTATTAAGGCATTAAACTTTATAACATCTCATGATTAATATGACATATCAAAGAAAAATAGATATATATATATATATATATATATATATATATATATATATAACAAGTTCAAAATAAAATATGTTCAAGTGCTCAACAACTACATAAGTCTTTATCACCATCATAAGTTTAAAACATGCCCAAAATAATAGGTTGCTCTTACTCTTCTCCATATTCTTCTATAATACAACTTCTTCAAGGTTTTAGAAACTCATTGGCTCCTACAACTTCAGTAATAGCCTACAGGAAGTGTTGTCACAATAAATTATCTCTGTCTGGTCTGGACTCTCAGAGGAAGTGCTTAATGAACAAAGGTTGTTTCATCTTTCGGCTGAATAAATAGTCAGAATGACAGTAAATCACCCTTCTGTTAGTGCTCAATGAAAAACGATTGTCTATTTGGTAACCAACAAAGAAATTATTAATTTATGAACTACTTTGATAAAAAAAAAAATTGATATACATAATAATATGTGATCTTAAATACTTGATATAACTAATTCTGAATGTTTTAAATACTTACATAGAACATATTTTTACATAAGTAGTTATATTGGCTCATAAAAAAAAAATTAATAACAAATTTGATTTATCAAATTCTAAATTTCAAAGTTTAAGGTCACACACACACACACACTAGACTATCACATACTTAAATAAAAATATATTGAGCAATTAACAGCAAGCTTGGGGAACTGGATAAGAGAAACAAAGGAGGGCAAATTTGTATAAGGTTAGGACATAATGGGGTCTCATTTCCCTGACTTTCTCTATTAAGTCAAAAAGAAAGAAACATTAATATATAGCTTCCTGAATTAAGTCATGTCCCCATCAACTTTATTAAGTAAAAAAGAAACACATCTTAGGTACCATACTTCCAAGCATTCTTATCTTAGCAAGGATGTGAAGGGCACACTATTGTTTGGTAAAGGAGATGCCTTTTCAAGATTTGGCCACCTCAATGTCTAACAAGTACTTGAATTACTAGAAAAAAAACACATCCACCCATTGTCATGATGACATCCATATGAGTTATTCATTTAACTAATGAAGTTTTTGGTTTTCACGACCATTTTGATGTTCAAGGGGCAGATCTGATTTTCTGTGAAAGTTGCTATTCCTTGCTTCTTAATATATATATATATATATATATATATATATATATATATATATATATATATATTGGATATAATGAAAACAAAAACATATGTTAAAAAAAACATATTTGAAAGTTACATAAATTTCAGGAAAGCTTGCTTCTTAAATCAGTTCCCTGCAACCCTTTTGTCCTCTTACCTGCTAACTTATTTGAATCCCTAGGCATTATATATAAGATAATAGAGATGTCAAGGGCATTGAACCTTCATATGCAAAGGTCACATGTTTCGTAAATATGATATAACAAAAGCATCACTTTTGCTTCCTCATAAAAGTAAAGTCAGGGAAATCTATACATTTTGCTAGTTGGATCGGATTTTCCTACATGTGATGTGGGTATGTGAAATGATCTCCTTGAAGAAAAATTACTTATGGAATCTCCTTAGGTATTTTACCTTAGTATATTATAATGTAGGTCATAAGCATCTAAACAACTCCAATATAAGTTAGAAAGAACAATTCAACAACTTTCATACACAATAAAAAAAATATATATATATCCAAGAAAAGATAGCAATATCAAGAAACATAGCCAAACAAATTTGTTTGCCATTAACCATGACTTATCATCATATAGCCAAACCAACCCAAGGGAAATACATGATGAAATTATACACCAAGTATGGAAAGACATAAATGTGGGTAAGTATAATCATTCAGCTCATGGCACAATACAAATCACTATATCAGAACGTGTATAGTTGAAAGATATAAACTAAAACAGAACATCAAACATGAGAGTTACTATTGCCAAACTTATTTTTCAGATTTTCTTAAAATCTTTTTCACAAGTGCTGAATGCATATGCTTAGCAAGATGTCTTTGTATGTATATGATATTAAATGTGTGTGTATATGCATGCATACTTACATATGTGCACTTGTTGTGAAGAAGATTCAAAAGAAGCCAAGGAATAAGTTTGGCAGCAGCTAGCCACACACACACACACACACACACACACACATATATATATATATATATATATATATATATATATATATATATATATATATATATATATATATATATAACATAAACTTATGATCACCAATATCAATTTACATTCACAAAAGAATATCAATGTTTGCAACTTGGATATAGCAGCTAAGGAAGGATTGGAATTTAGAAAAAAAAAAGTAATTGGGAAACAAAGTAGAGGAATAGAGGCATGCACCTCAACAGCCATGTGTGCCCATTTGTTCCCCATTTTAGCATGGAGTTCAATGATCCGGCGTTCCTCTTCTGGTGTAAATGCAACTTTTTTGAGATCAGGTCTTAAGTTATTTGCCCACTTTAAACGACAGCTTTTACCACAACGAGAAAGCCCAGAGTGCTTCTGAATTCCCCTCTCCATTTTTGTTCACATAATCCACCAAAATTGCATCTTCAGCAGATGTCCATGGACCTTTTTTCAGTGTCCCATTTCCTATCCTGTTTCTTTCACTGCTGGCTTCATCATTCAGTGAATTTATGCAATCCATGGACATTATTCTCTCCTCACTTTCACTTGTCATGTTGCTCATCTTCATAACACACACAAAACAAACATATAGCTATCTATCAGCGGACTGGAACTGTGGAAGTGGAATGCAATAATATATATGGAAAAATCTTTCCAAATACTAAAAAACTTTTAAAAGGTGTAATAAAGTATGCAGGAGATTTCGTTTTAGAACTTCTTCTGCAGCTTCAAGTTATAATAATCACTTTTGATGAAAAATCTTGATTAGTAACAAAGCAATAGATAAAATAAGGGTATCTAAGTAATTTTTCTCTACCCGTTGATTTTATGATTAATTTTGTTGCTGCTACTTGCTAGCTGGTATGAAACTAGAAACCGATCATTGTGGCTTGAAGTTAAATAAGCACTTTCCAAAAGCCCATCCAAACAGCCTCTAATACTAAGGAACTATTGTAATAGAAGATGAATTCATCATGCCAGGATTGAATACTCAACAGATTTCATTAACACAATATCTAAAACCCACAATTGCCTCTGAAAACTGAATAAAAATTGACAAGAAATAATACAGCATCAAATAAGAAATGGACCTATCACCTATCATATAGAGGCTCTTCACCTCACCCCAAACCCCACAAAAAACAGTAGCACACAGATTTATTTTTCTAACATCAAAAATCATTTCCAATTTAAGCAATTAAACTACTCTATCAAACCCACATGAATAATAATTTTGCTTAGTACGCATCCTAATATTTAATATCAACATAATTAAATAAAGACCGGAAGAATCGAGCTTACTATAAGTGAATAAACTCACTCACACAGTTTTACATCTATATAAAGAAAAAAAAAATCTGAAATTGGAAGGCAAGCTAGGGTTTTACCTTAACGAAGAACGCTGGATTGCTGAAGAAATATCAATTCCTCGTCATTGGACAAACAATAAATGGTAAAAGGAATTACGATGACTTCAATATCAACTAAAATCCTCAATTCAAACACCTGATTGCTGAATTCAAACCGTAAAAGGAATCTCTCTCTCTCTCTCTCTCTCTCTCTCTATATATATATATATATATATATATATATACACTGTTGGCATCTTTCTTTTGTTCATCCACGTCAGCATCGCCATTCTTTTCTTGCTTTTCCTCTTCAGCATCCATGTCAGCATTTTCTTCAACTGAATTCGTGTTTTCATCTTCACCATTATGTTGACTTTTCATATGAACTACTGAGTGAGCCCGTGGTCACTTTTTCAATTGGTTTTGTTACCTTTTTATTTTTGACATTTTTGAATGTAAAAAATATCATTCTAACAACTAAACAGCCAATCACATTGGCAGCAACAAAAATTGGTAAAAGGGTACAAACGTCATTTGCAACCTAAAATCAAAATAATTTGATAAAAGTGCTCCCTAAATGAAACATGCAGGGATTATTAAAACATATATGCTCATAATGAAATTTAAAAACATGTTACTCATTTTTTATGAAAGTTGCTAAATATTGCATTTAACCCTTCTTTATTTACCAAAGCCATCTTATTCTATAGTAACTCTATACAACCATGCCTATATCCTTGCCTAATTAGGCAACAAAATTAAAATTTTAACAAGCAATGTCTCTTTCTAATTTGTTAAAACGCCTACATTATGTTGGTCGCAAGGACTTTGAAAGAGACAGTAACAGGTAGAAATGTTCTAAACCTGGACCGCGTGGTTATAATTTGTTGTTTTTGTCACTGTTGTCTTGGGATTAGTGTCAGCATAACTAAATCTAAGGCCTCGGGTAGATCACCAACACCATCAATCTTCAAGTGTTCATCTTTCCTATATCCCAAGCAACAATGAATGATGGTAAGGTTTCAACCAAATTGATCAGTAATGTATAATACCTCATAGATAGTTATGTGCCAGACTATATTTTACCTGGTCTGTCATTACAACAAAATTCTCACTCACATCCTTGCAAAAAAAATTTTATTGCAGTTCTCTTTTAGTGCACACACCGGTATATGATGAACTTTCACTTGGTTGTCTAATAAAACATGCTCTTAACATAAAAGCGATTATTTTATCCTTTGTGTTTCCTGTTGCTACCACCTGATTTCTGATGGATGAAAAAAATTTCAACACCCTTAGCCTCCAAATCATTGACATGTACACTAATATGATGTAGAAGTAAAAGTAGAATCTATATAGAGAAAAAACAAAATGAAAATTATTAATAAATAAAATATGAAAGATATAACCAATAATAACTGAAAATAGTAACAACCTCTTTTATTAACTCAGTTAAGCAACATAAATATCTTTCCAAGAAAATATATGTTGCAATTTTTATGAAAGTGGAATGGAATGGAATGATAAAAGAATGGTATTCATAGAATAAATGACACCATTCTTACCAACATCCCCTCTATGAACATGTAATGATGAATACTCACCCATAAGTGGAAATTGTTTCACAACATAAGTCCATGTCTTCGAAAAGAAGCAGGAACTCCATGGCCTCTGCAAAACCATTAAATCCCAAATTCAATTAGGCCTAGTAAAAAATTACTCTTTTACCCCTGTTTTCAACTTCCAGCAAAGTAAATTACATAAAAAAAAATAACAAAGCTATCTCTTCTAAAGTCTTTCTGCCATAAAAATCAAATTTTTTTTATAAGCAAAGAAAAGAGAACAATCTAAAACACAAAGCAAAGAAAAAACAACAATCTAAAACACCATAAGGCCTGAAAAAGCTTGATTTGAGGATTTCTAAGAAGTTTTGCTTTGCTCAAAGTGACCTTCATGTTTTTCTGTTATGTCACCATATAAGGATTTGATTATGTATGGAGTGAAGAACTTACTTTTGTAACCTGAAAGGAAGTCTGAATCGAAGGAATGTTATTGCTTCCATCTCCTTTCTGTGTACTGGTTCATATACCCTAAAACATCACAACCACCTAAATTATATTGGGAAAAACACAGAATAAGAGAGAAATATAAGCAAATGAGCATAAGAAAATTGTAATACCATCTATTGCAGTCTACGTGACCTGTGCCATCATCAAGCAAAAATGAAACATCGGTAACCCTCTCAGCTTTGTTCAATACCACCTGTTTCGTTTTTCATCGGGCCATCACGAAAATGAATTCCATCAAATTGGAACTCTGATGAACAAACGAAATACGTAGCCAGAAGCGAACAAGGAAATCAATTGCATGGAATTGTAGAGGCGTGATGGAGAAAAAAAGAAATACCTAGAACCAGAAGTGAAAAAAGAAAATTAATTTCGCAACCGACCTCTATCTATCATAAAATCGAAGCAGTGGCGACTTCATCTTCAAGAGACGGAGGCACAACAGGTGGAGGAAAACATATTGGAACTTTTGTGTAAGCATTTCTATGAGAGTTGAAATCGCCAATTGAGAGGAGATACAAATAGAGAGAGAGAGAGAGAGAGAGAGAGAGAGCAGTGTGGTGACAAATTGGGAAGCGATAGAAATAAGGGCAAGGCGGTAGGAATGAGAATGGTATGTGGAAGAGATCGATTGGAGCGATAATAGGCGGAAGATGACAAATTAGGAAGAGATAGAGATAAGGGTAAGGTAGTGGGAATCAGAACGGTATGTGGAATCGAATCAAAACCACCTGAGAAACCCAAGAAAGAAGGCAGCGAACATCTAAAAACCAAAACCACCCTCTTGAATCCTTGTTACTATTCATAAAGACCATGCCCATTAATAGAGTATATAAATATAAATGATTCATTGTTTACTTTCTCATGTATTGCTACACCTAGTTGCTAATTATTTTTAGTTACAAATTTGTCCCTGAAGTCAAGTTAGAAATATCAGTTATTGTCTGAAAAGTCCTATGTATTTTGACCCTTTTTTTTTGTGAAAAGACCATCCTTCTTTTTAACAAAAAAGTCCTGCTTGTTTTTTGGTTTAAAAATGGTCAAAATACACGTGACTTTTTTTGAGAATAACCTAGGATTGATATTTTAGTGTTAACATTTTTTTTATTGTGTACAAAAAATAATTACAAGTTGACAATTTTTGGGTTCTCAAGTGAAGAGGAAAAACAAAAACAAGACAATGTAAGTTGACTCTTTTTTTTTTGTGTAGAAAAGTAAAATTAAAATGTAATTGATTGTTTGAAACTAAAATGCAGCCACCAAGTGATTTACACAAGAAGCGTCTAGATTAGGGGTGTTGATCGGGTAATTTTTTTCGGGTTTCGGGTAATTCAGATTTTTCATGTTAAAAAAAATACCCGTTACCCGACCCAAATTAAATTTGGGTAATTCGGGTTTGGGTAATTCGGGTATCGGGTCGGGTTTGGGTAATTCGGGTATTACCCGAAATATATAATTTTTTTTTTGAATTGCACCTGAAAATAAATTTAATGAAATAAACACGTCGTGCTTTATTAGTCTTGTTTATATAAACAAACGAGGCATAAACGAAGTTACTCAAGCTTTGAACATTGAGATTTTTTAGTCAATAATACTTGAGATATCAAGCAATTTTTTAACAACTTAATCTAATCTAATAAGATGTTAAAAAAACAAATACTTAAAGATCTTAATGTAAAAGTTAAAAATGTTTAAGATAATTGTAGCCATAAGTTTCGTCAAGATAATGAGTTTGTTAGTTGCAATAAAAACTCTAATCTAGAAAATAGTTAATTTTTAAAGAACATGGTGATATATAAACAATTTCTTTTAATATTGTTCGTGTCATATTGTCATAATAAAGTCAAAAATATGGTTTATACTTTGCTTTTCTAGGCGATTGTATTTTTCTGTAATGTTTTATGAGTTTACGGCTGTGTTTACGGCCGTGAACAGGTTTACGGCCGTAAACCTGTTCACGGCCCATGTCTTATATATATAGGGTGAGGAGTGCATGTGGGTGTACGGTTGAAGAGGAGCTTAAGTGTGTGTATTCTAAGGTGTGTTCTAGAGAGAGAAACAAGAGAGAATAAGAGAGTGTGTGTGAATCTATTGTAAGGATCTTCATTCATATCTTGAATACATCATAGATTCAAGTTATTCTTCTTCTCCTTCTCTTCTATTTTGATCTGACATCATCCGTTTGATTAGGATTCCGCACCATCAAACGGATCTGATTGATACACAAGCAGATTGGGGACTTACAAGTGGTATCAGAACTTGGTTTGTATCAATCAATTTTGTCATATCTGGAGCTTATTTGATCTTATTTTGGAAGGATTTTTACGTTTTTGGATAAATCTTGGCAAAATAAGGGGGGTTTGTTCTTCGCATTTTTCATAAAAACGTGTATTTGATCGAGTTTTGGAGCAAAAAATGGTGAAAAACGTCGTTTTTTTCGCGATCTAAAGCAGTGTTTACGGCCTTTGAAGGGTTTACGGCCCGAAGGGAGTTACGGTCGTAAACAGTTCACGGCCCTCAGAGTTTGCGGCCTCGGAGTTTACGGTCCGAGGTTCACGGCTGGTCCTCGCACGTGTACGGTCAGAGTTTGCGGTCCTCGGTGGTTTGCGGTCCAGCAACGTTTCCGGTTCGCACCTCGTCCTCGGTCTCGCACCTCGTTCTCAGCCAGCAACAATCTTCGCAAGCAAGCTTCGCAGCAGCATCTTATTAAAAAAAAGGGAAGCGGAATTAGGGGTGCCGAGGATCGAACCCGGGTCTCCTCCCAACTCAACCAGCGCCCCTTCCAACTTTTCTAGGCTGCGAGTTGATACTCTCCTCCAAAATTTAATTCATAAGGCGTCCCTTCTTCAATCTAGTTTCGCACTTTTTTACACTTTCAGCCCAAAATTCAAATTTCTTTTAATTTTAAATTCCATTTTCAACCAAAAATTTTAGCTTTTAATTTTTTTAAATTTCTAAATTGACCTTTGACCTCAAATTTTGACTTTGTCTTTCAAGTTTGACCTTTGACTTTAAGCTTTGACTTTCTCGTTTAACTTTCAAATTTTCAAATTTAGCTTTTCGGTTTGATTTTTAAGTTTGACTTTTTAAGTTTGACTTTTTAAATTTGATTTTTAAGTTTGACTTTTTAAGTTTGACTTTTTAAATTT